AGTTTGTGTGTAGCAAAGGTTGTAGTATGGAATATTGATCTCTGGATGTCAAGCTTGTGTGTAGCAAAAGTTGTAGTATGGAATATTGATCTCTGGATGTCAAGCTTGTGTGTAGCAAGAGTTGTAGCATGGAATATTGATCTCTGAATCTCAGGTTTGTGTGTAGCAAGAGTTGTAGCATATAATATTTGTCTCTGGATCTCTGGTATGTGTGTAGCAAGAGTTGTAGCATGGAATATTGGTCTCTAGATCTCAGTTTTTTAAGTTTTGGTGACCATTTGATTCTACTTCCTACTCTAGATATTTAGACTTTAACATTTCTGTTTTAAAACTGTTTCTTTATGATTATGGGCTGGACTGCATATTTTGGAAGGTCCAAGGTTTAAACCATGATACGCTGCTGAACATGCTTCACATTCTTAGCTATGGAATATTATAACTGAGATAGTTAATTCAACTATTTGAGTAAGAAGAGCTAGATAGGTAGTGGATGTGCTTGACTGTTAGCCCTTGCTCTGGTTAGCAGCTTTAAGTTAATGATATCTATGCCTGAACCCTAGGGGGCTCTGATCTATTCATTTGGTGCCTATCAAGGTTGAAAATACCAAATCCCGAGAAAAATATGTCATTAGCTTGACTAGTTTGATTAAAAGTTCTATTCATTCTGTTTATTGGTGTTACTTTCTATATTGCCCATTTAAGAATTTTTGTAAAAATTTTGTTACTGTATAGTTATATGGATTAGTTCATCAGTGATTTTTGGTTGTTTTTTTTTTTACAGCTCTTCCTGCTCCAACTGATACTAGGGTTGGTACAACAGTGGATTGTTCCAATCATCAGAAATTCCTTACAACCCCTGAAAGTATGATTTACTTAAGTAACAAAACCTGTTTAAAATCTTAAATGTAATTATTATAGAAAATTTAAAAGTTGTACTCGTATAATTATTAAAAGTTTTGTTCAAACTGTTGTTCTTCATCTTAACTGGTGTTGGAATGAAATATTCAGTTTACAGTAAGAGTTACTATCACTAAGGGATACTTATACTAATTCTCGTTTTCAGAATGAATGTAAAACCATGTGGTTTGTGTATCTTAAGAATTTTGCATCATGTTTTAGCTCATACTGGTAACTAGCATCATCTGTAGGTGATGTGCCAGCGGTGTTAGATTTTATCAAACATCATGATGCGTTTTAGCTAGTTTTATCTCAAGCATCATGATGCATTTTAGCTAGTTTTATCTCAAGCATCATAATGCATTTTAGCTAGTTTTATTTCAAACATTGTGATGCATTTTAGCTAGTTTTATTTCCAACATCGTGATGCGTTTTAGTTAGTTTTTATCTCAAGCATCATGATGCATTTTAGCTAGTTTTTATCTCAAGCATCATG